CTCGAAATGGAAGTAATCCCAACAATTATGAAACAAGAGATTCCTCGAAACCCAACTTTTCTTCATCTATTAAAAATTCTGCCTTAGCTAGCTATAGTCCTTCGAGCTGTATCACTGAAATCTTCAGACTCTATGATATGTTCGCATGGCCTCGAATATATGATATAAGTTGTATGATAACTTCATCTAAAACAGCTCTTAAAATTGTGATTCTAACGAATGTTGTCTTTCTAAGTCCCCGTGGCTTAAAAACCGCGATTTCTAACACCCACTGGAGCCCAAGATCTGACTAGCTAAACATGTTCTAGATAAACCGTCTCTCTCCATTATAACCGCTAGTCTAGAGCTCTGACATATCATTTACTCAGTTCTACTTCGAATATAATATTTTTACCTATCGATTTATCAAGTCTATCAATCCAGTCCAACATAATAATGTGGTTCCACATGACAAAGAGTTCGGTATAAGAAGATAAATTGACAAATAACATGATCAAATATTAACGTCGTGATTCATCCTCCTCTAAATAAACCTGTACATTGAAGGTATCACTTCAGTCACCGCTGTACTGCTCGAATGAGTTTGTAGTATATCTAGAATTAGCCAGAGTTCTAGATGTAAGTTCCTAAAACTATTCCTTGTTCGTGTCTGTGTTCTAGATATTATCCTTTACTACCAGATTTTTAATGTTAGTTTCATGATCTAATATATCTAACTGCAATCTCTCGCTCTTGGCTTACAATAGCTTCTTGATAGTGTCATCTAGGATTCTCTAATAGTTCACACTAGGTCTGTGAACCAAGTGTCTATATTTTGCTGTTATAGATGCTTCGGTGATTTTTTCAAGTATGTCAAAATGGCGAATGTAGTGATAAATCCTTGGTTCGTCTATAAAGATGATTATGTTTGTTGGTCGGACCTTGTTTTCACACCTTATTCGGAGCATCAAGGAGACCTTTTGGAATGTACCTAGTTCCATGTATTCTGGCACAGTATTCGTGATTTCCAGAATTGGACCATTGGTTGGGTACATTCCTAACACAAGGACCAAAGAACACCAGTGACTATGCAGAAAAATGGATAAGGAAAAATCGAAGAAAGTTAAGCATATCGTAATTACTGGCCACACAATTAGTTAGAAAACAACGGAAAGACTGGCCTCGCATGAGAAAATACCAGGAAACGGAAGGTCAGTAAAGCCGTGAACAATCTCTTTCAAAGAAATCGGATTAACATAAAATTCAACAACAGGAAGAGACATCACCGAGTGGCGGATCATAAGGAAGAAAGGGAAGTTAAGAAAAAGCGAATGCAGTCAGACTAGTCAAAAATTTAAAAAGAGGATTTTCCTGTGAGATGTAGTTTATTAAATTAAAGACTAAAGATATAGATAGGCTAGATAGAGTTCACAAGTGTGTGTGTGTGAGTGTCGTGTGTAATTTTCGTATCTGCCTTGGAAGGGGAGGTGACTGATCCCAGGCTTGATACCAACCAATACACATAGGAAAATCATCACAGAACCCTGGGATTAGATGGGAATGTCAACCTGAGAGACGAGAGAAGTATGTTTTTCGCGATTCAAGGAGAAAAAATGGAAGCGGTACATACTCAAACCGGCATTTATGACTTACACCTGACACAGGGCCTCAAAGAATGAGACACAATGTGGGTGGTGATGAGGGAGAGGATAATTGAGTCACGGGTTTGAATAGAAAAACTCCCTGACCCTAATATGCGCATGGGCATCATCTGCTCTAATTCCTCGGCAATAAGGCGAAGACGTTGTCAGTGAGTGATGTCCATTTCGAATAAACCATTGCAACTTTGGGAGCCCGGCAGTCAGGGGGATAAGCAAACCGTCACAGAAATTCGATGTTATGGTCAAAATGTACTAGAAATCAACTTGAGATACCGCATGCGACCAAAGATAGGCGTCCACAATTTGCTCAGATAACATAGGTTTAATCAAGGAGAGGACTCGTGAAGGGAAGGCCTGATATCTGCAGGCCTGGGAATCAGAGCCTAGGCGCTTTGTTCTGTGAGGCGGCAGTGTACGTGCTCCCAGGTCCTTGAGAAGTGAAACCCACAGTGGGACTGTAACCGAGTAAAATCTGTAAACCAGGAAGATTAGGAACGGATCCACAGGACCATAAGGGGAATACGGAGGCCCGAGTCAGATTAGCCGATCGAAAGAGAGGGGGTCAGGGTGGATAGCAAGTGTTATGAGGTAAGACTAGATTTGCCACAAAAGGACACACATTTTGACGAGTGGAATGTAGATAAGTGAGAATTTGTGATAGGGCGGGAATTTGATAAGAGGGTAACGAATGTATAGATAGATCAGGATAGAAAGAAGTGATAGGTTAATAGTTTTCGGCAGAACGTTTGTAGAGGGATAAACTTAATTTGTCTCTTTGACGAGTTCGTAGCTTGGTGCGGAGAATGGTAGCACTCACTGATGGTGCGACTACGATGCCGGCCCCTTTACTTGCTAAGAATCTGATGTGGGAATTATGATAACCGCTATGGCAGAGGACTTCGGACTAGGTGTTTTCTACTGATTCGCTTGGACAAGATCGAGTTGCGACAACGAGGTCAACCTACTCTTATGTTGGATAACCCACCAACAAAATATAGATTTTAATGGAATTAAATGATATCCTAGCAATATGAAACATTTTAACAGATCAACATGGAAAATGGCTTTAAAACTAACAGTCTCTAGCAATCTAGTATATGCCAGAGGCTCTATTCCTCTTTCCTTCAAATAAGCTAAAATTTCAGCTTCTTTGAACAGGAAACGCAAGTCTCAAAGTTAAAAGCATTAATGCTATAAGGATAAAAATGAAAATTCATGTTAATAAGTATGTCTCTTACCTCCGTGGAAGCATTCAGCACAATTAGCTTCTCGCGCCTAGTAATCAATTGGGCGGCGTATGCGATACTGATGGCTGTCTCCTGCTTATCACCCGTTAGCACCCAGACATTCATTCCAGCTTCTCGCAACGAGGCTATAGTCTCAGGAACACCATCTTGAAGACGATCTTCGATTCCAGTTACGCCTGTTTCAAAAAGAAAGTTGTTGAATATATATAGAATAAAAATTGTATAATTAATGGATAGGAAGTATATAGTATCACATAGACGTAAATGCATAACTCTGACAAATCATATTGGAAGTCTAGATAAAAGCAGTGACAATTTAAGGATAACATGACTTGAAGTCTTAGGCGCTAATAAATCGTGTTCGAAAAAGAAAAGGGAAAGGGGTGAGTAGTTTATAAGCAATATGCACAAGC